TTCTTAGAAACCTAGAACCTAGATATATTCACACGGTTGCAATAAGTTAAAAGCTGTTCTTAGAAACCTAGAACCTAGATATATTCACACGGTTGCAATAAGTTAAAAGCTGTTCTTAGAAACCTAGAACCTAGATATATTCACACTGCTGCAATAAGTAAAAAGCTGTTCTTAGAAACCTAGAACCCAGTGTGAATATATCTAGGTTCTAGGTTTCTAAGAACAGCTTTTTACTTATTGCAACAGTGTGAATAAAACTACTGCAATAAGTAAAAAGCTGTTCTTAGAAACCTAGAACCTAGATATATTCACACGGTTGGCAAAGAGTAACGACTTTTTCTGAGGTGAAACTTAGTTTTATGAATAAACAGTCGTTCTTAGTTTAAAGTTAACTTTAGTTACACTGTTGACAAGCGATGGCCAGTCATTCTATGATCAAACCCTACAACCAGTTTTTGAGAGTTCACAATGTACAGCTGTTTTATTTAAAAATTTTGAAATGAGTTACTTCTAACATTTTACCTAAGACTGAATTTTACATCAGCTCTGCAAGAAATGTTGGTAAGCTGTGACCAGTTATTTTTGACCAAAACTGAACAAAGACGAGCTTAAGATACAGTTTACCAGCTACTTTTCTTCTTTAATACTATATTAAACCTTTCTTTAAAAAACAACGCTGTTTATTTTCAAATCCTTCAAAAGTTAAGGAGTAGTGCATGTTGCGTTAGTTAAGAAACAAAAATAACGACGCACGCTGCGTTAGTTGAGTAAAAGAAGATGAAACTAAGAAATGGAATTCATAGAATAATTAGATTATTAAATTTGATAGATAAATGTGTCAGCTTCTCAAAAAATTACAAGAAGTTTTCGTCATAAACTTTTGTCTAGTTGTTGCTAAGTCCTTTCTTTCAAAACAGGCGGTAAGTCTACAGACTTACAAGGCTAAAACTGGGGGGTTTGATTCCCTGCAGTGGACCCAGTAGATAGCCCAATGTGGCTTTGCTCTAAGAAAACAATCTTTCATAACAACAGAAACATACTCCTCTGGGTGTAAGTTATATGTATTTAGAATCAATTGCTCATGACCAGTTTAAAACAAAAGTGATTCACCTAATAAAATAACTGATATCAAATTAATTTATTATCTGTCTTCTGATTGGCGATTATGAGAAATTTAGTGAATATTTTCTTCGTGGTTACCTCACGTTACTTCTTCATGGTAACGAAGTGTGTTTGTGTGACGATAACAGGACTGTTACTGCTAGTAACATTACTTCACACAAACGATTACTTTCTCTGTATATTTCGTGTATTATTGGGGGGGCATTGAGAATCTACCATTTATATAACTAATCGTGAAGAACATATTGGTGTCCGAACGCTGTAGAAGTTCACACTCCCCACCCACACCCCCAAAAGTCTCGTGTTTATTCTGAGAACAGCAAACAAAATGACGCATTATTTCTCTGTAAAATATCTGTTAATATCAGCAGCTGGGAACAGCCTTTCTTATTTATTCTTGCCTACTTTCAAGAAGAATTCAATATACGATGTTAGGCCTTACCACGTGTTTAACTTTTCAGGTTACGAAATTAAAGTACGCTTTAGTTAACTTAGGAAATAAAAGAAGACAAAAAAACATTACAGTAACATGGCTACGTGAAATAATACTAATGAATGTTTAATTAATGTGGTTTGAATGAACTATTATAATTATAAACTATAATATGGCGGGAACAAGTGTGTGTGTGTATTTAACTGTAATCTGTCTTATCCGTTCTGCCTCTTTAAAGCCACTTTTTCAATCCTTAATTAAAATATTTTATTTAAATATATAGGTATAGTTAAAACATGCACAGTTATAGGTAGTTATAATGGTCACAAACAGACGTCTTAGACAAATAGTTTATTCGACAAACTACCCGGATGGACCGTTAAGTTTGGAAATTGACTATTATTTGTTCTACCGACTCTCATCTCTTTACGTACATCTAGCATACTCAGTCCTGCTAATCCTAATTAAGGATTTATGAGCGTTGGTGGGTTGGGATTAGCGTAAATCACAGGGAATATAATGAGTGCTATTCCATGGAACTTTTCGCCCTAAGGGTTGAACCAGGCAAGGGCAGAATAACTTATACATACTAGCCCTATATTCGTGTTGCGTTTTGGGAACATGTGGCCATAAATATACATTTTGTTGAGACATTTATCTTAACCTTCTTACAATGTCGATGTTTTATCACAGATTTTTTCAACGTTTACCTCGAAGCTGCACGAAGGGATATCGGTGCTCTGCCCATCGGGGGTATTGAAACTCAAATTTTAGCGTTACGAGTCTACAGACTTACCGGAGGGCTATCTTGAAGAACAACATATTTTGTACCACCGATCTGATAGAACACTGTGCTAATATTTGTTGATAATTATAAAGAAAACACAGTAAAATGCCTTTCGTCGTGAACAAATTTTAAAATAACTTTCCGAAAAACAAAAACCAGAAACAATATTCATTTGGCGCCACACCACTGTATGACGTGTCTCGGATAGATTGCGTTATCTGGTGTCGCCATAGTGCAATGGCGTCATCGCAGGTTTAGTCATGTGTGTTTCACCTTGCTACAAGTCAGCTGAAACATTTGGAGGTCCGGATTACAAGGCCACGTGAGCGTGAAGTATCTAACGTGAAAACACGTTTCCCGAAAATTTGGGTTGCCCACTTACAGGCTGTTGTTAAAATATTCCCCACAGTAATCTTATAAGTGGATGGAAACATACAGTTCCGGCTACACAAGATATCAGATGATGAAAGAGAATTTTTGATGTGCTTTTTATTTCATTGTCTATCTACTCAACCTGATATTTGACTAAGCTTTTCTCGGTGTCCCTGAACTCATCATGACTTTTTGTCACGTCCCTAAATTCATCATGACCAAAGGTTTCGGTAAATGTCGGGTTGACTGCAGAGACATGAGAAAGGTTTCGGTAAATGTCGGGTTGACTGCAGAGACGTGAGAAAAGTTTCGATAAATACCGGGTTGAGTACAGAGACGTGAGAAAAGTTTCAGTAAATATCGGGTTGACTGCAGAGAGGTGAGAAAAGTTTCGATTAAATACCGGGTTGAGTACACAGACGTGAGAAAAGTTTCGATAAAACTCACGTCTCTGCAGTCAACCCGATATTTACCAAACCTTTCTCACGTCTCTGCAGTCAACCCGATATTTTTCGAAAGTTTTCTCACGTCTGTGCAGTCAACCCGGTATTTATCGAAACTTTTCTCACGTCTGTGTACTCAACCCGGTATTTAATCGAAACTTTTCTCACGTTTCTGCAGTCAACCCTATATTTACTGAAACTTTTCTCACGTCTCTATACTCAACCCGATATTTATCGAAGCTGTTCTCGTTGTCTGTAGACCGAACCTCATCCCTCATATTGCTTTCATCTTCAACATGATCCCTATACTGAAGTACTTTTGGAATCCGTCAATTGAAGGTGTATATCAATGACCATTACATTTACATTGTTAAACAAAAAGGAACTTAAAGAAAATTCTATTTTATTTTTACAAGAAAAGTTCTTCGTCTTCTAGA